CTACTCAGAATCATGGAAGAAGGGTGGTATGAGGACTGGGCCATACCTTGCAATTGTGTAAGTGTTGTCTCTTGTGCGAGATCCTTTTGCATGTGGGTGATGCTCAGCAAGTTCAGGCAAAGGAGAGGGTGAGGACAAAAAGAATGCAATGAGGAACAAGTATGTTCAACAGGCTATGAGACCAGGAGACTATTAGAAAGCGTGTAAAAACCATGTTTAGGGGTAATAAGCTAATCTAAATGTAATGAATAGTTAAGAACAAATGGAGAATTATAAGCTGCCTCCATCCCCTGCACACATACCATTACTCCTGCCACCACTGCCACCCACTCCTCACCCACACACATGTACCACCAATACCAACACCACCTTCTACTTATGGTGGTGAACAAGATTTTCAAGAATCAGTTGAAGTTTTTCACAACAGGTTAAAGACACCAATTTTGGTTCTCTTGTTAAGTCCAGCATTACTATGGACTATCTAAGTTTTGTCTTTGAACCTTTTTGGAAGGGTTCATCCTGTGGGTTGAACCCAGCCTCACTTCCACACTGCAGAATGAAAACTGGTTTTGCTTCCTTCCTCCCCATTAGTCACAGCATGAATTTGTGTGTGCCTTTTTTTGTATGCACTTAAAGTACCATTTGTATTTATGGATTTAAAGTTAATTTAATGCTACTGTATGTAGCCCTGGGTCAATTCTTTGATGATGCATTCTGAGAAAACGTGTTGCATTTTTTCCCCTCTAAATTTGTACCTAAAGGGGGAAACAATGCACATCAGAAACAAAAATAATTCCATGGCAACTCCACTCGTTTTTTTTCTTTTTTATGACCCTTTAATGTCTTTATTCCAGGTGGAGTCGGAGCTCACATTCGCAACAGATATTTCTTCTTTGCACCCTGGGAGAGAAATATCTGCCACTGCCTAAGATTGAACTCTCAATCTTCCAAGTGGGAGGTGAGCTTCTTCACCTCTAGGCCACCGTGCTGCTCAGCAACTCCACTCATATTTTTAGATAAATCCAAACACATTCCGAGGGGTCTCTATTGGCATTCATCCTTGTCTTTGATAGAACACCTAGATTAACCAGCTCAATATTTTTTACTAAGAGAAAATACAAAAAATATACCTTTCTTTTGTAAGCTTCCATTTTCTCCATGAATCACATCAAACCATTGAAATTATTCTGTCTTTATTTTTACTGGTGAACTGCTTCCACACAAAGCATTTATTGCAGATTTCCCCCTTTTCACTCACCCTTTGGGAAGGAATTCAAACATTTGTAACTTTTTCATGTTTCCCACTATTCATTCATTCATTCTTTCTTTCTTTCTTTCTTTCTTTCTTTCTTTCTTTCTTTCTTTCTTTCTTTCTTTCTTTCTTTCTGAAAAAAGACTAGCACAATCTCAAAATGTATAGAGGTTGGGGGGTTTTTTTGAGGCCTATCTTCAGTTTGTGTAATAGGGTATTGGAAAAGCTGTACCCCTTAAATCTCAGCATACTTTTAATATAAACTGCGTGGTAAGCATCCGTGTGTAAACCTTATTTTTTTTAAATTAGTGCCAAAATGCTTTTCCAACTATATATTTTAAAAATGTTAAAATACTGCTATAATACTAATTTTAAAAAGAAAAGCCTTTCCAAACTTTTTTTGACATGTAAGAAGCGCTTAGCACTAATAAACGATTTCTTTTAATAAAAAAAGGTTACTGGGATATCCCACCCCACGATTGCTCAGGTGAATATAAATTTTTTTTCTTTCCATCTACAGCATTTATGCTGTAGCTTTGGATAGACCTAGAAAAGAGTGAGATGAGTTTACAGGAAGACTGCAATATCCATGATAATGTGGAAAGTCGTGTGTGGTTCCATTTATAGTTGCAGCAGAAGAACAGTGATTGATTTGTGATAAACCATCCATCTGGAAGAGGTTTGTTGTTTTGCTTTTCCTGTGCAAGAGGGAAAATGTGCATCGTCTCCACATTTAAAATACATTGGACAGGGTGAGAAATGAACTTGGGGGAATCAGAGGTGTGGATTTACATACCCAAGGCAAGACAAGATAGTTGTATTTATGCCCTGGAATCTATGCCTGGGTTTGGTTTTCTCTTCTGATCAACTGTCAACATCTTATTTCCACTATCCTACCCAATCTAGGTTTGTAACTCCTCTCTACCCCAATACACCAGAGATTCTGTAGATATGAGAACCTGTAGATTCTAATGTTCAGAATGGCTTCCATCCTTTTCAGTAAGACCTGAAAGGTTGATTGCTATGGATACTATACAGGCCAGGCAGGGTAGAAAACGGACGGCCTGCAACTTCATTCCTTGGGAAGGGAGACAGCTAGAAATATTCCCCTGACTATGTTAAGTGGCTTCATTAGTGAGTTTCTACCGCAGCGGAGATAGAGTCAGCCACCTTCACCACAGCAAGGCTAACAAGTTAAAGAGCTGGGATGAGCACAGAGGCCATTCCATTTCCTTCCTTAACAATAAAACCAACACACAATGTTGTACATCCTGAGAAAGCCTACAGCAAAAGAAAAAAGCTGCATAAAAGTGGAAGCTCTCTGCCTGTTTGACCAGGTGGTTCTGCAGGTCCCAAGATGTACTTTGGCAAAAGAGCATTAAGGAAAGAGTCTTGTATAAGTGTAAATACTTTGAGGAGGTGGAGTTGTGTAGAAAGTATATACTTGATTCATGAAAGTGGGCAGGAAGACAAAGTGTCTTCTGCACGAGTTCTGAAGGGGAAAAAAAGGATTATACTTTCAGAAAAGCATGTGCAAAATGCAAAGGAGAGATTACGGTGAAAGTTTGAAGATGAAAGATCTTCTAATGGCTGTCTTAATATCAGTGTTTCTCAACTTTGGCAACTTTAAGATGTGTGGAGTTCAACTCTCAGAATTCCCCAGCCAACTTACATTGGGTTGCTGTAAAATCCTAAGACCACAAAGTTGGAAGAGGCCACTGAAACCCTTGAATCCAACCCTACTCAGTGCAGAAACACAAATTAAAGTTTCTCTATCTCACAGATGTAGACTTAATGCATGCCCCTCCTTTCCTATTTCCTGCCTTGGGACACAGAAACACCCATGATGATGACAAACAAATTATCCCACGACTGCATTGCGTATCGGTTACACGGGTGGCGGACAAAGTTTTCCCTTCCTGTTGTGCCTTCACACAAACCTAATCTAGCAGGGCTGATCCATCTTTTTCTTTCCCAGTTCAGGTTACTTTGCAAAACGAAACAACGGGCCACTCCTCAGGGCTGTGTACCAAGGAACCGGAGGCCGTCCATTAGACACAATGCAGAAGGAGTCATCTGAATCTTCCAAGGAACTTTCTTCTGACGAGGAGAGGTCCCGGCTTTTGCCTCTTCAAAGCCCTTCTCGGATTTCCCAGAGCACATCACCCCTTATGTGAACCAACCCCACAGTCGCACGTCTTGTCACCAGGCACTGTTTCGTTCCCTCTAAACCGGCTTGCCCTGCTGTGAGGATTGTGGGAGAAGGGGAAGATCAGCAGCCAGTGCTGGTGACTCTTTTTTCATCCATGAGGTATATCAACCAGTCCCACCCTGGCTGGGAGGACAGGTACTTGGCCCATTACGCCCCCTGCTGGAATGTTTTGTGGCTCCTCCGGCAGGGCAGGCGGCTAGGGCACGTGGCTGCTAGCGCCGTGGTAGGAGCGCAATAAGACCTTGTGCTTGGTAGCCACTTCATTGCGCCGACGCTGCTGCTCCACCAAGAACTCTTTCAGGCGACTCGTGGTGAAAGTGAGGGTCTGACGCCGCAACTTCATGAGATAGGCATCCTGGAGCCACGGATTGGCGAAGCAATCCTTGAGAATGGGACGGCTCCTGCAAGAGATAGATTTATTAGAAGGAGCTTTCCAGAACCCTTGTTATATTCAGGATGGAAATAAAAAACCCCCGACTGAAAGTCAGGTGGAATGTAAAATGCCCAGGGTGCCGTATTACACGAATGCAGACTCCTGGGTCTTCATCCACTTCTTTACACTGATGGGTTGCTGCAGCTCTCCAGAGTTTCCAACGAGAACTTTTCTCAGCCTTACCGGGAGATATCTCAGCCTGTACTTGAAACCTGATCTGTATAAATTATGCACTCTGATATTGAACCCAAACATGACGTATCCAGAATTTGCAACAGAAATAAGGCACGACTAATGCAGTTCCAACATCTTGCTCCTCTAAAGCCATACCACTCCCATTCCACAAAACCACTGGTGAAAGGTACACATGATGGGTTTTAACTGCAGGAAAGGATATTTGGAATTATGCTACTGATGGATTTTGTTTGCAGGAAAGGATATTTAGAATTATGCTATTGATCACATCTAATGACTGTTCTAATATTTGCCGTGAATTTCCCTGACCCTAGTGGTCTTCTGTAAGGTGCTAAAGA